ACTCCAGTCTAGTCCAGACTCTACCTGCAGACATGTGTTCTTCCATTGAGGCAGAGGTCCAGCCTGAGGTGCTGCCCGTCCGGACCAGGTCCAGTTCATATCAAATGGACGTCGGCGTCTGAAGCTCAGCTGTGAGTCAGACTGCAGGTTTCTGTAATGAGGACCACGTGGAGGTGGAAGTGACATCACGTGTCCTGGAGAGCGACGGCAGATATCTGCAGCACCGACCCGGTCCACATATAAAGGCCTCTTATCGGACGCTGCCGGGTCGAGCACACGCCTCTGACGGCAGAGGCTTCCAGCAGAACCGGAGGGTGTGGTTCTGCTTCCAGACAGCTCAGAACATTTACAGCTCAGATCTGTGGAGTTCCTCACAGCGGCTCACATGACAGCGTTCAGCCTCGTGGTCACGACGGTGATTAACAGCTGCTTCAGATTTAGGCGACAGCGTCCGCCGACATCCTCAGTTAGTGCAGAGCTAAATAACGACGGACGGATCCAGGAAAAGAACAAAAAGAGCTTTGGTCTGAGGAAACGTCATGAAGGAGTTCAGACGTCCAGTTGAGTTAGTGTGTGTGTGTGTGTGTGTGTGTGTGTGTTTGACCTGGGGGTTTGAGCCTCACCTGTGCTCAGGTGGTCTGTCAGCTGGAGTCGGGTTCCTCTGCAGGTTCTCTGGACTCTTCCAGGAGCCGCTCTCATAAAGTGACAGGATCCAGCTGAGGTCCAACATCTGGTCGGCTCCTCGGCTGGGATCGGACCAGAACTCTGCAGGGTTTTTACATCTCATCTGACCTGGAAACACTTCAGAATGAAGCAGGAACGTCTGGAGCTGCTTCACCTGCTGCTGACGCCACAGGTGGACCATAAGTGGACGGATGGAGGTTCTACGTCCACGTTACCACTAACAACTCATTTCACAGCTGATCTGATCTGAAGTGATTTATGAAAGCTGGACGTCATGTTTCCCTTCTCTGTTCGTTCTCAGTGTTTTATTCTCCTCCTGAGCAGATGGTCTCAGGTTCTGTTTCATATCTGACCCGGTTCCGTTCCAACACCGTCCACCTGCAGCTCAGCGCTTCACTTCCTTCAGTGAAGACGAACACGTCAGCAGCTTCAGCTGTAACTTCTGGAACAATTTGCTGTTATTATTTTATTTTATAGATGAATTCTTGTTTTATTAAATCACAGACTAACGAGTAAAACCTCAGAAAAAATAAACTATAAAATAAAAACAACTCAACAGAAGCTGCACACGGACAGAACGTCACAAAGGAA